CTAGGTATTCCATGAGAAAAATTGTGACATAATGTCCACACAAACATCCATACATAACAATTTCTGGTAGTTTCATCATGGCCCCGAATAGCAAATGATCCAATATCTGTCAACTCCTGAATGAATAAACAAATTGTGATGTTTCCATATAATACAATACTACTCAGCAATATACAGGAACATACCACAAAGGGATGACTCTCAAAGGAATTTTGCAGTAGCAAAAACCTGCTCCCTTTAACCAAAGGATAGGAAAAGGAAAGCCTAACAATACTAAAAGCTTTTAGATAACAAATGCTCTAGTCAAGCCAGATCACAAATAAACCTTGGTCTCATGTCCACTCATGCTAGCAAAGACCAAGTAATAAGCTAGGGTTCCATTCTCACCAGCACCAGCAAAAAAGATATGCCCATTACCCTGCTGAGGTGTGTATCCAAGAAGACCACGCAGAACCCAGTGCTCTCACCCCACCAGCCTTCAGTGAGAACCAAGCCAGTGGTATCAGAAGCTCCGCCCCCAGCAATAACGAGATGTTCTCTGTTTCCCCACCCGGGCACCATGAGAGGAGTTTGGAGGAGAGTCAGGACCATTAGCATGGATGGAACTAGAGAAGAAGCACAGGAAAGCAGAACTCCCAGTCTCAGATGGCAATGATGAGATTTCCCTTTGGAGGCAGAGTGGAAAACACAGAATTTACTCTACCTGGCAGTAGTAAGGTGCTGAGCCCCACTCCCCTGGCAGAATACTGTCAAAGAAAGTCAGGGCAAACAGAGGAGTGGCGGGAGCACAAAAATGCCCAGTTTTCAGTAAAAAATAATTCCTAATACCAAGAACCACACATGTGCCAGAAAGAACTTAAAAAGATAATCAATAGAAACCAGTGCCAAGGTGGCACACTTGTTAGAATTACCTGGTAAAGATACTAAAGTAGCCATGATGAAAAGTATCCTTCAGCAAGCAGTTATGAACATTTGAAAAAGATGTAATGAGAACAAATAAGAAAAATAGAAAGGCTCAACAAACAAATTGCTTTAGAAAATAAATAGGAAACATGTAGAACAGCCAAGCCATCCATGGTGACAAACATTTGTAATCTCAGCATTCTGGGAGGCTGAGGCAGGAAGATCACAAATTCAATCCCAGCCTGGGCAACCCAGCAATTTATTAGAACACATCTCAAAATTGTAAAAAATAAAATTAAAAGAGTTAGGAATAAAGCTAAGTGCAAAAACCCCAAGTTCAATCTCCAGTACCATAATAAATAAATAAAATAAATAAAGAGGCAATTGGAAATTTTAGACATGAAAAATATAATAGCTAAAATAAAAGTTCAATGGATGGGATCAATAGCAAAATGGAGGAGGCAAAGGGGGTAACCAGTGAGCCAGAAGGTAAAATAGTAGAAATTAGCCACTTTGAACAACAGAAAGTAGACTAAAAAATAAATGAGTAAAGCCTCAGAAACATTCCCAACTATAGAAAAAAATCTAGTTTTTAAGTTATCAGAGCTCCAGAAGAGGAGAGAGAGGTGGGGCTGAAAAACTCCTTGAAGAAATTTCTAAAAATTCCAATATTTATCAAGGATTATAAACCCACAGATTCAAAAAGCTGAGAAAACCATAAACAATAAAAATCCAAAGAAATGCATAAGAGGGCATGTCACAATCAAACTCCAGAATATTAAAAAAGATAAAAGAAATTTATAATTGGTCAGAGGAAGACAACACTTTACCCTTAACCAGTTAGAACAACAGTAACTTCTCACCAGAAACACTGAAGGCCTGAAAGAAGTAGCACAATATTTTTCAAGCACTGAAAGAAAAGAATCACGAATCAGCTAATCAGCAGGAACCAACTGGCACTCAGACAATACTTCACCCAACCACAGAATGCGCATTTCTCTTCAAGTGCCTATGAAACATGCACTAAGACAGAACATGTCTGAGACATAAAACAACTTCAACAAGATTTTAAAATATTGAAATTATACAAAGTATATTCTCTGGTCAAAGAGTCAAATTAGAATTCAATATTAGCAAGATAACAAGAAATTTTCCAAATACTTAATGATAAAAACAAACTTTTTAATAATTTATTGGTTGAGGAGGACTCAAAGGAGATAAAAAAAAATACCTGGTACTAGATGAAAATTAAAATTCAACATATCAAAATATTTAGTACACAACTAAAGCAACACAGAGAGTCAAATTCATATCTGACCAAGGAGTACTACTTGGACTATATTTTAAAATTCTTAATATTCATGTTCTTATTCATATGTGAAAGCTAAAAGCATTGATCACATACAGGTAGAGAGTTGAACAGAAGTCACTAGACAACAGGAAAGACAGAGAGAAGAGATGGAGAAGCAGGTCAGGTAACTGGGCAGAATAAGTTCCAGTGTTTTGCAGTACACTGCAGTTTACAATAACTTATTACATGCTTTAGAAAAAACCAGAAGAGTGGAGTCCATAGGCTTCCAACACAAAGAAATGATAAGTGTTCAAGGAAATGAAAATAAAATTAGCCTGATTTGTATGTCTATACTGGATTATCACACTGCACCTCATAAATATGTATTTTTAGATACTGGTTGTGTGTTATCTCTCAAAGACAATCTTAATTTTTAGAATTAGATTTTGTTCTGTTCCTTGCAACGTAATAGAAAAAGTAAGTAAAAGGATTTTATCATTTTATTTTCCATGAAATACAATTAAAATCACATTAAAACATTTCATTATTGCTTCAAATTCTCTGGTTAAAGTGAATTCTTCAATTTCCTATTTAGCCCCAGGCCTTTTGCTCTGGGCTCAGGCTCTCTTGAAAATGGAAAAGCCAAAGGAAACCTGTGAAGCCCATCGCCAAGCCCTACAAAGCAGACCTGGCAATTAATCTTCCTTAGAAGAGAGGTGGTCTACTTTTTCTGTTACTTGTTCCCCTTCCTTTCAGGTCAGGTATTATTATGGGCTCTAGGTATCAGCCTAAATTAATATTAAGACAGAAAAAAAATCTACTCTGTTCTGTTATAATGCATGGAAAGTAAACCAGAATAATTCCTAAACACAGAAGTTTCATCACGAAATTTGCAAATATGACCTTTTTTGCTTTGGATCAGTACCTGACTTATCCTTCTAAGGAGTTCTTTGGATGGCACTTTCTTCCCATGAAAAGGACATCTCAGTGCTGTCAGACGATCACAAGTCTATTAGGACTTTTCTAGAGGTTCTCATATAAAAGCTTGCAAACATTTTGCAGTGCTATCATGTCATCCATCCATTCATTCATTCACCACCTCGGAAGCCCTAGCCAAAAAGGTCTCCAGTTTACACTTCACATTTGTACTCCAAGAATTAAGACACAGTACTGCCTCAGTCCGTGAACTTAATTCGTTCTATGATTCTGGGGAAGACAGCCATGGTCGAGTTGCCACCCAATGTGGAGTTCATGAACTGAAGCAAAATTCTGCCGAAAGCTTGTTTTTGAACCCAACTGTTGGCTAACAGAAGCACTAGTGAACCAAAGTGTTACTGTATATAGTTAAGGACATAAATATGATGGATGACCTCCTTTACATTTCCTATAGAGCAATACTATGCACTGTTATTTATCTTACTTGAAATGTGTACAGTATTATCTTTTATAGTATCTGATTGCATCTGAGTGTTCTCCTGGACCTCAAATTTTAGAACTAGGCTGGTAAATGTGCCATGACCTTTATGGAAAACATTTCAACCTTCTAAAATAAACCAAAAACAAATCCTTTTTAAATCTCAAATCTCTTCTGGACATATCTACGAATTCACTAAGATCATGCCTTCAGGTAGAAATGATAATATTATCTGCATCTTCATGTATTTCAGCTTCCTACTCAGGAATCCAAGTCACCAGAGTCACAATCCTCTACTCTTTACAGTGGCAGTGGATGTGGCAAAAGTGAGTAAGACCCCGGGGATCTGCCCACTATGCCCAAGAGTCTAGCTGGGAAACAAACACACACTCCCAAGGTGGTCTACACTCCTACCTTTTACATTCCCCAACCGGATGCCCCCTACCATTTCTCCTGGGTGGACAATGAGGTTCCTCAAGCCCTCTGGGGCTTATGCATTGCTTGGGGGACTGTGTGGGTCTCACAAATCTTGCACAAATCTTGCACCACTGCTGCTTCAGAACCTCTGATTAAAGGTGGCAATGAACTATCCTTGTGGACCCCTCGTGCCACCTGTGAATAAAGATGGAGCTGATGTCCTGAGAAGTACAAGCATTAATGTGTGAGCTCAAAGGCTAAGAAAATATTAAATTACTGGGGAGAAGACCAATCTAGAGATAGGAGGAAAGATTTCAAAGCAAAAAAAAAGAAAGACAAGGCATTGTGGTAGGATCATAACTTGGAAAAATGACTTTGCACAAATTTCAGTAATGAAGTACTCACAAGGACCCACATAATGATCCTTGGCACAGATAAACCAAAGGAAAGGAAATTTTCTGTTTTTTCAATGAAAGAAAAAAAAATACAAAGTTGTCTGGGTGAAAGAAATGAGAGCTACAAAGGCACTTTAAGAAGTGCCTGATGGGCCTTCCCTCAGAAGCCCTCCTGGGTACCCACAGGGACTGCAGGACAGGCCACTCCCCACACAGCCACCTCAGGAGCCTGAGCCAGCCTGGCTCCTCCTCTCTCCATGGACCCAGCACAACTTTGACCCAGAGAAGGCTCACAGAGGAAGTTTACATAATAAGTGAATAAAATGCCTATGGAGTGGATTGGGGGAAATAAGGGCATGCAAAATTATCAGCAAATCCATGTGTCCCACAGAAAGCCTTTGTAATCATAATATGTGCACTACCACTGTCAGGGTTATTGCGTTTGCTCAATTTTGATAGGCTCCTTTATGAAAGGTTTTCATCTGTGTTCCACACACACACACACACACACACACACACACACACACACAATCTGCATGCACCCAGTAAGTGCCAAGACTGACCAGTCTATTTTCCCTTTAACTGGCAGCATTCACAGTCACTTTATTGTGTAAAATAATGTTGCTTCTTCTTCCCTTTATCTTGCTTATGTCTGACCTTCCATTAAAAGTTGCTTAGAAACTGCTTAGCAAACAGTCGGGGTGCTCTGCTGACTTCTTCCTTTTGTGACTTCTCCACCGCCTCATTCCCTTTCTGCAGGCTTTCTGAGGCTTCTTTTCATCTCCTTTCAACAGACAACACTAAAAGCCCAACATTTCCCTCCATTGAAAGGAAGTCTGCTGATCGGAGGCAGCAGCAGCCCCAGTACACCTGCCAGGGAAGAGGGGAGTTGATTAACAAAGCTCCCACAGCTCTTGCTTTCTGTGACCACCTCTGCAGGGTGTGCTGACCAAGTCAGAAATTATTAAAAATCCTGACACCAGGAAGCCCACGATGCTGCCATCAACCAGAGCTGGAAGGTGGACGCGGAACTGGAAGTCATGGTGCTTCCTTTTACAAAGAGCAGGGATTGGCCCACACTGGGCTGTGAACAGAAGCCACACCAGACTTTAAAACAGAATCCCCCAATGCCCAGGGAGTGGGTTTCCATGAGCTTACCGTGTGCAGGTAAGTCACTCCTCTATGCTGTCCTCATCCAACACTTTGCTGAACACACAAGGAGGGCATCCCAGAAGAGAAACACAATCCACGCCTACCTTGGGCTACATAACACTCTAGCAGCTGAAGAACGTGTTGTAGGAAAGAGGAATTTAAGTAAGAAATAGAGGCACAGTCCTGCTTCTAGGAAATTCACAGGGGTGTGAGGAGAGATGAGCTGCCCACTCTGTCCCGCCTGGGCTGTGGAGGAACAGCTGTGGCTTCCACCTGGTTGGGGAGAGGAGGAGGGCTTGAGGGACGGAGACTGAGCTTGACAGAGGGGATTCCATCAGATAAAAGACCGTGTGGAGGCCTGAGAAGTCTGTGTCGAAGAGCAGAGGCACATGCAGTCTTTCCCTTGGAGGCAGTGGCTGCCCAACCAGCTTAGCTGACCTCTCCTTTGCTGCTGCGTGGCATGGGAGGCCTGGGAGGTCACTGACGCCATAGTGAGACAGACCATGTGGTTGGTATTTTCTCTGAATTGTGAGATTATTTTTACACAAATCTGTAAGAATCTTATAAAACAAGATCATTCTGTACATGATCCTCATCACGGTAATCCTGCAAAGGGTCCACACCTAAGATTCTGCCTTTGTGTTAGCAGCAGTTGTGCCTCCCCGAGAACCCAAGTGCTGACTTCATTTTCTCACTGACTACTCACATGAGGGACATCCTCAGTGGGCCAGGAGCTGCAAGAACACAAGCCAGTCTGCACCATCAGCCTTCTGAAATCGTGGTCACCACCCACCAACTGCGGATTGAAAGACATCTGTGGTGAACATATACCTTTCCCTCATCATTACTCTATAAACGGGACAGCAGGACAACTACTCACGTGGCATCCACATTGTACGGATTAGGTATTACAATTACGGAGATGATTTCCTTTCCACAGGAGGACGTACTGCGTCATTTTATATGAAGGACTTGGACATCTGTGGATTTTTAGATGCGTGGGCATTGTGGAACCAATCCCCTGATGATACTGCAGAAAACTGCAGTCCTGGAACCCTTGAAGTCCTCTCTGCAATTTATACTCCTTAAATCATTTAGTGTCTTTTTCTCATTAGTCTTAACTTTATGTAATTATTTCTTTTATGCATCCTTTAAATCTTTTTTGAACCAAAGTGAAATAGAAATAAATGCAACAGAAAATATACTTAAAAGTACATGTGATTAGTGGATCATGCTTACTGAAAATAACTGTACTTGGTTCAATCATAAGTGTTCAGGAAAACTGGAAAAGACATTTCAGCCCAGCTGCTGCGACATCATTAACCAAAAGCATCTCGTATTTTTCTTGCTGCTTTGTTATTTCTTTAATATAAGTAAAACTAGAAATTCAAAGTTAAAAGTTGATCTGTGGCTATGATTTCAAGTTACCACCATATAAATACTTTTGATGATGAGATAATCATTAAGACAATTATCTAAAGGGAATAATTGGCAACAATTTGGCTGAGGATATGGATGAGTGTTGAAAGCCCCGTCATTTTTTATGTGGACACTTTGTTCCATAGAAACTATTACTCGGGTGAGGGCAACATCTCATATTTCATTACATATTAATGTTCTGCAATTTTGTCAAATCAAAGATAATACTTGGCCCTTGCTTTTCTAAAATTGAAAACAAAAGTTACCTGAATTTTTATAACATGACAGTCTCCATAATGTCATGGATATGTCTCTTAAACTATTGCTTTATACAAATACATTTGTCTCTCAATCTTTCCTTTCTTATTTGCCCACAATCAGAATAGTCACACATCAAGAAATTGGAGCAGAGCTACTCTCTGTGTACACAGTGCCAGTGCTTTCCATTTTTTCATTTTCTTGCTGAAAAAGAGAAGGAAACAGCTATTCATTAAGCACCCAGCACATGGCAGGTGTTTTGCCGGGTGCTTTGTATACATTATCTCTCCTAATCCTCATGGTAACCCTATGAGGAAGGCAGTTTTATCCCCATTTTATAGCTCAGGAAACCCAAGCTCAGGGGGGATAAGAAGCTTGCCCTGGGTCGTCTGACCGCAGGGTGGATTGTGGACTCGGGTCTGTTTGCCTGGAAAGCATTTGGACCTTCCTCAGATCCTCCACCCTGCCCCCACCTTGCAAATGCCTTGTGAAATCTTTTTTCTTTTCAGTCTGATGTTTTAACTTTGTATAGTTTCATTCTGATTTATAGAAATATTCAACCAGGGATCTTTTTGTTGAATTTCGTATTTTAAAAATTTATTCTGAGACATTTTTATCTCTAGGAACATAATTTTCTTTTCTTATGCAAAACTTTAGGTGATGCTGTCATTATTAAAATAAAATTCAAGGGTCATTTTATTAATAGTTTTTTTAATTATTACTAAAAACTGCCCTATATCAAACTTCTAAAAGTTACATAGAAAGCAACTGGACAAATGGAGACATTTTTCCTTTTATTCTCTTTTTCTGGATATCTATTTCTATTTAACAAATTGCTGTAAAACTCAACAGTGTAAACAACATCCATTTTATTATATCTCATAATTTTTGCCTGTCAGGGATTTGAGTAGGACTTAGTCGGCAAGGACTCTGCTCCCTGTGGCTTCGACTGCAGTCCCTGGGCAGCATTCAGCTGGCTGATGGAGCCAGGAAAGCTGGGCTCAGCTGGGATACTCAGTGGAGCCATAGCACTGGCCTCCAGGGCATGGTGGTCACCGTGCTCAGGCTCTATACACCATGGATAGGGGTTCTAGAGAGAAGTTTCAGAGGCACAAGACTGGAAAATACACCTTTGCTTCTGTCGCACTCTTTGCCCAACTGGGGAAGAACATTCACTTCTAGACAGGAAAGCATGAGAGATCTGGGGCCAACCTATCCAATCACTTGTCTCATGTGAACCTCTATTTTAAAAGACTTTAAATTCATCCATTTGTGGAAGGCAATATGACGAAAACATTGGAGAGCTAACCCAATAATGGAAGTTATTAGAGGTTTTAATCAAGCAAAACAGTGAAAATATTAAAATTAAAACCAAAACTAGTATGATCATATTTACTGTAAGGAAATCTTGAAAGCATCATGATGATAAAAAATATTCTCAATTTTAAAATTGAGTGCAGTTTAAGAAACAGAAAACGAAGCATTGTGTGGCTATGTTAAATACCACGACTCTTGTGCAGGTTATAAGAAAATGACTTATAAGTCAAATGTTATCCTGGTGTGGTTCCTTGTGTAGAATTGGCAAATATTCCACTAACTTTAAAGCATGAAGTTGACTTTTAAAATCTGTTGCTGCAACAGACTCTCATTTCCATTCTTTCTAACAACCAGTTTAGAGCTACGTCTGAGACCGTTCTCGCCAGACGTGAGGCAGTACACAGCAGCACACCCATCTTTTAGGTGAATGTTAACGAAACAGCCATGGCCATTCCTTAGTATGTCTGTGGCTCCTTCCCATCTACAGTGACAGACAGGGCTTAGTCTGGCCATAAAGTGTAAAACCCCTGCTCTCTGGCTCCCAAGCCAAAGCTTGCTGCCCACTACTCCCAGTGCACTTTCCCGGCTCCCTTTGTGTTAACTCGCGCCATGGATCAACGCCTCGCCAAGAAGCCAAGCCTGGCTGCTTGAGAACCAGGGAGACACTGCTGCCAGCTGCAACTCAGTATAACAGCAGCTTCGCTGTGACTCAAGAACAATGCCCTGACAGATGGAAAAAATATGAAACGAGAAGAACTTTGGTTCCCGAACAACCACGTGGAGCAGAGAGATGCACCAATGCAGATCATTCTCCCTGAATGTCCCTGTGAGAAGTGGAGAAACTATTGACTTAAAATCACTAAAACAATGTCAGCTCTTTATTAAAGCAGTCAAGCCGTATTGTACCTAAGTCTTATTGTTCTAATAGCTTCACAATGAATCACCAATAAAACATCTGAACTAAGTTTTTAAAGATGACCGAAAATAGCATTCACTAAATGCACCACTTTACCTTGTAGGTGGCAGGTGATAGCAGAAGGAAGAAGAGAGGAGGGAGGAAGGCCCCCAACTCACTATTTTCATGCGTCAAGTGTGATAGTTGGTGGTCTCTTGTCTTCAGGAAATGGTCTGTAGATGAAAACCAAAACTAAAACTTTGCTTTGACCCCACCACTCTACAGATAAGATTCACCTTGTCTCTTCAGCTACTTGGTGATGTACACAAAACAGAAATCCAAGGAGAATCTGCTTAAGCATTTAAAAATCTATTTGATCCTATCAGCTTCGTGTCTTCACCCTCATTGTTTACATTCTTTCCTCTTTTTCCCACAAAGCTCAGGAATCTGTGCCATCTATGGCTAACTAGACTGATTTTGACCCAGGAAATAAGTAATATTTTGATCATTCCTGCAAACAACATCATAGCCCAGGGGTGACAGTCAAAAGGTCGTCTCTGAACAATGAGATAGCATGTGCCCCATTTCCTCTGTCTCTCTATTTTTTACTTTATTACCTTAATCATACACCACTTTCCCATTGTTTTCTTAGGCATTTCCAAACATCAGAGAAGCAAATACATAAATAGATCCTCAGAAATCCACTAGCAAATCTATGTTTAACCAGTAATTAGAGCTCAGAAGCCTTGCTGGGTAGGTCAGGAAGAGTCTGGACACCCTTATGGGCTCGAGACTTTATTCTTTGTGTTTCATTGTTAGAGTTGTACACCATTTCCTTGAATGCCAAATTTAGGCATGCTTCCTAATTAATGATTTTTTCAAGCCCTTCTCAGAAGCCATTGGATTTTGATTAGCCCACAAAGGAAGGTTTTCTCTCCTGGGCACATAGTTTTCTGTCTCCTTAGCAGTTAATTGAGCACAGAATAATGGTTTCCTGACAGGGAGGCTCATAGGCTGCACGGAGAGGTTGGTGCCTCTTTAGTCTGGGAACTTCAGTGACATTCTATAATGCTCGGTAAATTTAAGCTCAGAATTAGAGATCAAATTGATGTGTTTGGACATATCTCAAGCTGATGTTTCCTGAGCAGCTGGCTCCATGAAAAGATGTATAAGCTGGCTCAGGCCTCTGCTTTTCTTCTTGATGAATTTCTCCTTGCACTTCTCTTTCTGGAGCTCACTACATCACAGAAAGAAACAGAAATGGCTCCTTCTTCTAGAAATCAGATAATGTTTATTTTCACACAGCAAACTTGCTATGCAAAGCACAGTATCTGCAAAGTATGTATTTATCCCTGTCCTTATGTGATTATAGCTAAAACCATCATTCATTATTTGCCTACATTTCAAAGCACAGTGAATGGAGAAGCAATGGTCTTTTCTTTAAATTTTAGTAAATTATGTTGGCTCTTTCATCTAGTAGAAAATTTAGGAGGGCTGGGGATTTAGCTCAGCTGTTCGGTGGCCTGCCTTGCAAGCACAAGGACCCAAGTTCAATCCCCAGTATCAAAAAAAAAGAAAAGAAAGAAAGTTTAGGAGACTACGTAGCCCTGAGACTCACTGAAAAATTGGCATTAGACAGGTTGCATTTCTACAGAAAACATTAAGGATAGTTAAAATCAAGCAGATGGACATCAAGCATCTTATTTGACTTTTTGAGAATGATAGGGGAAAATAAAAATTGTTCTCTTAATTTCTTAATCATCTGAACATTTGTGTCCACTAAATCACACAGAATAGAGGCCCAGCTCTCTCTGACATGTACTTCAGACAAGCCAAGGAGCAGCACCTCTCTTCCTTAACCTGCGGAGCAACAGAAAAGATTTAGAAAGTCAGCTCACAAACCTCATTAAGGAGATTCCAACACTTGCAAAATGGGCACTGAGGTGGCTTACTGGAGGGCGGAGGGCAGGTGCAGATGGCATGCCCAGGACAGGCTCAGGAGGGGAGCCTCTGAGATGCTTGGGCACTGCCACCGAACTGAGGGAAAATGCAAGGCTCAGCTGAACACCTGTGTCAACAGCGTCCACACCCCGTCCTCCCCTGCCAAGGGTCCACTGTCCGGCATCCTCTCCTGCACTGGCAGAGGAATTTTATTTTACAGAGACTTGAATCAGTAAACCTCTCTCTTACTAAAAAAGAGTAAGATCTAATATCCCAAGAAAAATGAGAGTAACTAGTGAAAATATGAAATTCAAACAAAAAAAGTGAAAAGCCTAATAGAGAATATTTTAACATCTCTATCCTTAAGGAAATAACTTTTAAAAAATGTTTTTCCCCAAAACTGTGAAAATATTGCCAATAAAATTTTCAATCATGGTTTTAACAGTTTTGTTTATAGGTTGGTGTTTTCAACATATTACATAGTAAATCTATTATAAACAGTTTAACTTATACTTAAAATAATAAATACATAGAGTTCATTACTGCTTCAAATTCTTGACCTAAGAAAAAGTTGCCTGTATTTTCAATAACTTGTGCTAACTTGGAAGAGACTGATTTATGTCAGTGAAGGACAGTGTCTCCTGATTTCATTTTTATAGAAAGCAAAATCCACTGAACTCCCAGTTCTTTCCTTCAATGCATTGAAAATTCTCCTTTAATCTTCTTTTTCTTCTTTAATTATGAAGACACATGCAAATATAGTGTGTGTACATGACACATATGTGCACAAACCCAAGCTTCATCTAACAGGAAAAGCTTTCTGCTCTCTGTAACCTAGGAAAAGTAAATGTGTTTATTCTCTCCAAACTGAAGCATTGTGAAACAAGATTGAAAACCAACTGCTTTACCTTAAGTGACTGGATCGCTGCAGCATTTCTAGGAGCACCACCTCCTATCTACACTGAGGGACCCTGGGCAGGCTAACAAATTCCCACCTCACTCGTGTCTAGGTGCTTTTCTCACAGTTGGGCAGAGAACAGACTGAGGAACCAGAGTGGATTCCCCAGCAGCAGCTCTCAGCCCAGGAGCAATGGGAATTGCAGCGTAAGTCCCCAGCTTCCTTCTCCTCAGAAAGACAGATCTGAAGGAGGTCCAGTGTAGTCTCCCCAAGTTCTTCAAGGATCATGCAGCATGGATCACCCAACCACCACTCAGAAATATGCAACCTATGGTTGCCTTTCCAACCCTCACCTCACTATCCACTTGTCAGCGGGTCTTCTCTGAAGTCAGTTCTGAAATAAATGACTCACATTAACATTTTTCTCTGGGGCTGCTGTTATAGGAGCTCACTAGAGAAACTAGTACTTGATCCTTTCGAGGAAAGTATCTCTTCCTTTGAGGATTTTTAATTTGCACCTTACAGGGACTCATACATTTAAATTTTTAAGTGAATTTAAGAAGCAAGTTAGAAAAGGTTAACATATCTACAAATTCATTATGAAGTATAAATGATCATGGAAATAAGAAAAATTATTTTTAAAGGAGAGGTGGAAAGTATGTGCTCACATACCGGGCAAATTTCCTGGAGCTCTGACACCTAGGTTGCCCTCTCCCTTACTGACTTGGGCAGAGTTCTTGTACCCAGAAGCCAGCCTGGAGCCTGGGCGGAGAGGTGGGAGGGGCACCCTCCTGGGGAACAAGTAAAGATTCCAAGGCCCACGTGTGGTATTGAGCACCGTCAGACAGCACATGATATGAGTAAACTTTTACATGAAATGTTTAGAAAGAGAGTAACATTCTATGCATTACAAATATTACCGAATTGTGGAGGTGACCGGTATGACGTGGTTGGTGTCCTAGACACGTGTGTGTTTATCCAGCTGCGTCAGTTCCACACCCTGCTCCTCACAGTCGTCCATCTGAGAAATGGTCCATCCCCCTCTGTGTCATGGTGATAGTCTGCTGCACCCAGGTGTCTGCCGCTGTAAAACAAATCCAGACAAACCCTAGGCCATACCTTTCCCAGGTCCTCTGGCCACACAACACAGTCAGCAGATAATTCTTGTTAGTTATTCGAGTTTAGCAACCTTTAGTAACAAACATTCTCCTATTACACAATAATGCCTTGGGTGGCTCCAGGCCTGTGGTGGACATGGAGCACGTTAACAGAGGAGGTGGTGGTGATGACCCTTGAGGAGATCATCATGAAATGAGGACTCTCTAGTCATCCTCCTCCTCAGAGTTACTCTACAGAGAGTCTATCTGAAGGCTCTCGATAGGTACCAGGCATTGTCATCTTGGGTAGATGTATAGCTTTAAGTCTGGAGGAGACAAAACCAAAGAAACCATTAAGAATGTATGCGCCAAATTATGAGATCAGTGGGATTGCTATGGATACAGCCAACAATCGTTTCCACCAGGCAGATCTAGTAATAGCCTCCCACAAAGAAGATAAGGAGAAGGTCAGGGGACTTGAGAATCCAACATAGAAGTTGTAGCACTTAGGAACTTTTTACAAGGTCGATCTGGTATATCCTGGTAAAAGAAGTCTAGCACATTTGTCTTTGGTTCCATCTGTATGACCCCTTGGAGTTTGGCAGCCCCTAGGCAAGAATAAATAAAATTTTAAAGTAATTAGACCATGTATAATCCAACTGTGAGAACTAGAATGGAAAGGCAGGTTGGGGAAAGAGTCACATTTAGAAACTGAAATAGTGATTATAACCTGTTAGCTCTTAAACTTTTATTTTTTTTCCTCATTGAGTTTATTGGTACATTTTATGTATACAGTAAAGTTACATTCATCACTGGGATCTTGTACCTCTACATGACAGGTCTTGGTTCTCAGTTTTTCACCTTGTCCCTGCCCTCCCTTCACCCCCTCCTCCCCTCTCCATTTACAAATGCTTTATCTCCATTTTTTCATTTTCTCCTATTTTTTTCTTTTCCCTTATTTAGACTCTTTTATTGATGGAGGTTGTCTACAAGTCTGATCCTTTGTCATAAGTCTCTCCAGTCTTCGGTATAAGATATAGACAATTTAGAATTGAATAGCTAAGAAATTTAAAACTCTAGCTAAGTTCTTCTAGATTTTACCATAGTTTTTCCTAATGATCCATAACAGTGGTCAGCTACTGGTGTAGCTGGAAACTGCCAGAAGTGGTCAGCGATTTGAGCCCCTTTTTATACCTGACTTTATTACTGTGGCATTGTTTTATACCTCTTTTGTTTATTCTTTTCTGCTGGGTGATTAAGACCAAGTTAAAGAGAGTCCTGTGTCAATCAATAAGAAACTCTTGCTATCTATTAAGGTCAGTTAAGTCTCCTTAGGCATTATTTTGGAACCATAATACTAATGTCACCAATCTTCTCTTCTGGATGTTCAACAACTAAATTTTGGAGACCAAATTTGGAAAGATAACTGCGCTACAAGAACAGCCAATATTTTGGCCCTGGCCTTTCAAGGTCAACAAAGATCCAGGACATGAGGGAACCTTTCCTACAGGATTCTACATCTTTGGCAAGTCACACAACCTCCTGAGCAGAGAGATTGCTGGGCACCAGAGGACAAATGTACCATGTGCCAAAGGAGGGTCACAAAGGGAGAAAAGTCTCCCATGCTTTCACTGAAAGCACCATGGTCAAGTAAGGCTGTGACCCATCCTGACAGCTGACACTGACAGAACACTTTCTTGAATAGCCCTTTATTTTCAAGATAGTTTTCCTCTCAATACCCAAGCGGGTGTGCTGTGCTACTCCACCTTCCCATTAAGTATAATAAAAGGAACATCACCACACCCATCAGCCTGGACCAATAGCATGCAGGAGTCAACCCGGCTTTCTTTCTGCAGCAGTAGTCTCTCCAGAGCTGAGGGCTTCTCTGCTGACACCTCACCAGTTTGTATTCCTGATTTTTTTTTTCTCTGTCTACCATGAGATGTTCTCTATGGCTTCACAGAAGAGAATAAAATCTCAGCAAGTGTTCCCGTGATGAATACGGAAGTAGCTGATCTGGAATAAAAGATGACTTCAGAGAGAGTCTCAGTTTAAAAGAAAAGTTCTGCAATACACAAAACAGTTGTTTAAGCAAATGTAACATATTCCCAGTGTGTCTCTCTTGTCATTCAAATTTCCTTTAGCATAAGATACATCTCAGTTAGCTTCCTCTGCTCTCTACCAGGACCTAAGGGAATCTTCTTAGGTTTGGGGCCATTCCTGCTGGGAGATATTTGCAGGCTCTGCACTGCAGCTGGAGAGGTCTTGCCTTAGGTCTGGCAGGTGGTGCTGGGTCCTGCCCAGGAGGTGAGAGGTTTCTGTGAACATATTGCTCATGGTTTACTGGCCTGCTGCTTTCTGTTTCTGTAGATAGTTTGGTAAAAGTCCCCTTGAAACCTCTGCACTGTGGAACTGCAAGCCATCCAAACTGTGGTCAGGGTGCTGTTCAGGGGCTGTTTTTCAATGGTGCTGAAGATCTCAATGGCCCCTGAAGGCAGGAGTGAGGGGAGAGCAGCAGGAAACCTATAGCATCAAAGTCCAGCTCAAATGAGGACGTGGCAGGGAACCCCAGGAGCCAGCCCTGCCAACGAGTCTGGTGCGAATGTGGACACACGTGGCCAGCTAAAGGGAAAAGCTACTTCTGAGCCCATCAAACTTAAGCAGGAAGAATGTAGGCTGACATGCGTTCCAATTTTTTGAGAAAAACAGAAAAATTTGAATTTTTCTGTAAAATAAACCAAGTTTAATGTCGGAAGTTTCATTATTAAACATAATATACAAATCGAAGGATCTGGGAAGGAATGTGGCAGTGGGTTGCTTGGTTCCTTCCAGCTGTGGCCTCCAGGAACAAACCACGAATAGGGGATGCGCAGAAAGGAGCCTCCCAGTGTGGCCGAGACACCCTCAAATACCTAGAGATGAAACAGACCCTGACCTGAGGAAAGGCACTCTGGTGTGAAGCGCTCTGGAGAGGGGCATTTGGTGAGCCCCAAAAGTCAGCTAGACGTGAAAAACCCCAACCGAAATGTCTGCAAGTTTGACACACCTGCTGCTCAAATGTAGTATTCTTGTGTAGTTCTTAAACACTTAAAGTTCATGTGACTAAAAATCTGGGTTTTAAATTCCATCTTAAATTATTTTAATTTAAACTGAATCACCACGTGTGTCTGTTGGCTAGCCTGCAGCAAAACTCAGCTATAAAAGCTCCAGTGAGGGTCCCCAATTTTCAGCAGGTGCCAGAATCACCCATGGGGCTTATTAGAACACAGATCACTGAATGCCATCCTGGGTTTCTGGTTTGGCAAGTGTGCAGTGGGGGCCTCAGAACCTGCATTTAAAGAAAGTTCCCAGACTTCCACATTGCAGGCTCATACTCTGAGAACCACTGAATTGTCATCCAACTTTCAGATCACTGAGACAGAGGGTGGCCAAGGGTACAGCAGAATAGCAACTGGTAGAATGGAAGGAAAGGGGAAAGGAGGAAGGAAGAGATCCCTGGACACCCTAGAGTTGGCTCTGTAACGCTGAAAGAACAGCCCAGGTGCAGCTTCCCAAGCCACGAATGGCTATGCTGTCTTGCAGAAGACAGGGGTTGCTTGTACATACAGAATATGGTGCCTGCTTGCCTGGGTGGCTAGAGTCTTAGTTCCACTCCAGCAGGAGGTAAAAGGGAAAATCTTGCATCATCATGACTGAACTAGACACCTGGCAAAACCCGTAAGTCAAGAGTGATTCATTTTTTTTTCCTTGCTATGTGTCACATGAGTGAAGCAGCTAATTTATCCTACAAATATGCTATTAAGTATCAGTGCAGGTCAACTGTAGCCTTGACCTTGGAAAACACATACTTTAAGTATAGGAATAAAAGACGGTATCCTAATTATTCATCTAACTTTTTTTTCATTTAAAACCAAAAATATCCAGATTAATTGTTGCAATACATCCAAGGAATTTCAAAGACATGATCTTTATGTCTTGGTCCTAATACTTTAATGAACTAATTCTAAATAGAAGAATAATGTCTAACAGGTTTGGGGGAATGGAAGAAATGGAAACAGTCTTTCAAACTGCTGCCAAATATCTAATCTCTTTGTTTTAGATTGCTGGCATTCTTTTCACCCTACAGTGAATATTTGAACCATTTTGGATGACCAATTTCCACATGGAAAATTTATGTTTCTCACCATTTGTGGAAAGTGCGTTGTGTGCTTGGTCCTGTTTTCACCGTCTGTTTGGCACATTTATTGGTAGTGCCCTCCCACTCAGACTGCAATTCGCCACACGGCTCATGTTAGCTAGTCATACATAAGCATGTGTGTATAATCATACATAACCATACATAAGGGACACACTGGGACATTAGACAGCTTTTGAACACTTCTCACTCTCACCTGTGCTTCATCATAACCACACACTGAGGACAGGTGAGATGGAGAAAAACCCCAGGTGTGTGAGAACTCAGCACAGGAAAACAGCCCTGCTCAGTGACCAGAGCTTCCCTGCACTGTGAGAAATAACCAACGTCCACCTATAGCACTAACTGGGGGACAGGGTGGTTTGTTATACAGTCACAGCTGACAGATACACTATGTATCCTCATTAAGATACCAGCTTTTACAACCCCATGCTAGATGTAGCACTGTGCTTGTAGTGTGGATGATAGAAAGAAAGTTACTCATTACACATATTTACATTGGCTGTCCTTATGTTTATTTAAGACTTTGCTGTGGAATCTGTGGGAGGAAAAAAATCTTTAAAAAGAAGGCAATTAAAATCCTTATTCCACTCAGATATCAGCAAGTCATTGTCAGTCTTATCAAATCCAATAAAAGTTTTAAAACAAAGTCAAGGTGTTGAAGGGAAGCTTATTTTTGCCACATGATTACAGTCACGGAAATTATCCTGAAAAGGAAAACATCCTTCTTAGATGATCTGTCTGTTCCCCTGCCAGCCGGGCCGTGCTTTCCATTCTGCATCGGACTCCCCTTTCAGTGGCACAAACTGTGGGACCACAAGGAGGCCGAGGAGCCACGCAGAGCCTCTGCTGATCCTCA